TACGGCCAGGAGCCCCTAGTAGCGTCCTTGCTCCTAGTAGTGCAAGTCAGTAGATAGGAGTGGAAAAAAGATACAATGCCCCCTGAACAGCCTTACTCCTTATCCTACCGATCTCAGGATTTCAAGTCCGAAGAAGCACTCTAACCAGGTTGGAGGCAATAAACTACTAGGTCGGAGGCCATCGCTATCAGGTTGGAGGTACCTCCAAGATTCTTGGAGGTGCACAGGTGCTCACCACTCGCTGACTGCTCACGCACACGCACATGGTGGGAACGCGCGGTACCACAGAACGCCTGAGTAAAGGCCGGCAGCCCGTGGTGCGGTGGCACCTCACAAAGACTGGTCCATGGAGGCACGGGGATCAAGAACATTGAGAGGAAACACGTACAAATTCATTTCATAGCATTTCCAGCAGCGGACATGCTAAAGTCTTGTAACCAACCATGTGACATCTTTGAGAGTACATCCCACTCCTCTTGTATCTACACATTCGCCATGTCATTTGCCCCGTCTACCCTCAGACGCTTTGAGGGGCCCCCGATTTTTAGTAAATAAATGCAGCTTGCAAAAAAAGGGGACAACCGGAGCATTTCCTGGGCGTTTCAGGCTTTGGCATCAGTTTAGGAGATCGGATGACATTGTAACATTGTAGAACACTAAATTTATATAAGTACATAATCATATTACGTACATATTGTACACATATGTACAGTGTACAGTTCAAATACCGATCAAGTTCTTAGCTTTTCCATGCGAACAACAATTCTAGCCCCAACTCCTCAAAATCACAAGTTGAATTGTGAGAGGCGGACTGGACGTCCTGGTTCTACATCTACATATCATCGAAAAGACCCGACATTCAACTCATTGCTGCCTAGCTGCTGAGGCGACTCCACCCAGCTTGAGCCAGCGACCTCGGACCAGCAATCTCTGTCCAGGTGGCCACCGTTTGACAGGTCACGGCCGGCCAACACGGTCGGATTCAGTCTGATCCGTGTGCAAAGGTGACCCTCAATGCCTTCCGCGATGGGATTGTGCCAAAGTTTGAGGCCTGATTGCGTGAGCAGGACTCGTCCACCAAGGGACCAGTAGTCTAAGACTATGCCAACACATCTGAGCTGACCAATTGTCCAGGGCAGCCCAAGCCTTCGTAAATCGCATAGCAATTAGTGACCCCTGTAGGATTGAAAAGTGAGTTGCTCATGAGTGTCCCAGGGCCCCAAACTAACTCTCAGGATGCCTGTGCGGAGTGGATATAGCAGATTCCACGATCAAATTCCCCTATATTTATGTGGCTGTCCATCCTGGAAATATTTGTGGATCGTGAACAGTAAACAGTTACGTATTTGGGAGGATACCTGCCAAAAGCGTGATTGCTGTTTGGTGGGACAGCGCAAGCCGTCGTGGACACTAGCTTGGTCAGTTTCCACGCGCTATATTATAAGTCATATTGTTTTTCGTGTTGAATGCTTCTAGTGCCTGAACAAGCCTGCAAATGATGCAAAACCTCCACTGCGATCAAGCAAATCAAACATGTCCAAACCTTCCTCTCGTCGAACAAACATCCAATATGTGCTCAAATAAGGACTTGCCCAAACCAAACTGAGTGGAGGCAACGATGAATGAACATACTTGGCAAAGGGTTGGTCGAAGGACACTATAGCTACAATGGTTTCATCTTTCAACGCAGTCTGGCTGTGGCGAGTCACCAGGTGACAAGACTGCCGAAGTCAAAGTCAGCAAGTCAGTTGACAGCAAGGACGGGAGGGTTCCCCGAAGTGTTAAATTGGTAGTGCTTATCTTGGATAGTGTGTGTTCGCAGGGCCACTGGTGAGAAAGTTGCAACAAAAATGATTGAAAGGTACTTCTAGGGATCGATGTCGCGCAAATATGTTTGTGCATGCTTATCAGTGGTTCTCAATGATGAGTTGTGTGTGTGTGTGTGGCATGGTCATCTGATGACAATGTTGTGAAGCGATGACAGTGTTATGAAACCGATGACAATGTTGTGAAACCGATGACAATGCTATAAAACTGATGATAAGGGCTGCCCCACCCCCCACACCCCCCTCCCACCCACCCCAATTTAAGCACATGGTCATGCAATGACAATGTTATGAAACCGATGATCATGTGATGAAAAACCAATGTGTAAAGCCGATGAAGGAATCGATGAACCATGTTGAATTTCCAGGGCCGTGAATGGAGCACCATGTGATGAACTTCGGTGACCCAAACAATGATGACCTGATAACAACACATAACCTTCCAAAAGAACCCCCCGTTCCTTGGGTCAGTTGAATATTGGTAAAGATTAAGCTGAGGCAAATGGCAGAGAGTGGATGACATGCAGTGTCCATGTCAGCACCATGCACTGGGCCCTGGGAAAGGGATGATATACCTAGTCAAACCATTTGGCTGTTTCCATCAAATACAGTGCTAAGCCTTTTGGATTGGAGGCATGTTGAAGTCACAGGAAAACCCTTGAAGTCCAGTTCGACCTTTTTGTGCACCACCAAAAAAGGACATGTCTTTTTCGGGTCACTTACATATATAATTGGGGGCCTCTGAAGGGTGATTGTTTGGGGCTGTCGAACTGCCACCATCTTCGGGGGGGCCTACCTCACATGGTGAAACACTCCATGTATGGCATATTTGCCTACATACCCGACTCCAACCACCCCAACTGATCGGCATATATGGCATGGTGAAACTGCTGGAAATCGGGTTCTATGTGAAGTTTCCCCAAGGACGGGCATCATATCGTGTTTGGCTTCCATGTCAAAGTTTTGGTTGGATACAGTACTGCATAATATAGCTGACAATCTCCACATCAACCTCTTGTTGTTAGCTTCCCCATCCACAAAGGAAGACCTCTGCTTCCCAACCCGTGGAGTGGAGTTCCCCAGGCCGTCTATTTCCACCAAGGCCACCCAAAGTCTCCTGGTGCTGCTGCGCCAAAAGGACATACCTGGCGAGTCATCACGAGTCTTTTGCAACTGCAGTCCGCCGCAGAACGAGTCGTCACTGACAGCATGACTCAATTCTTTCCTGACACTGCCACACTTTGCATGCTAATGTATGCGACAGTTCCAATAAACAAGATGGGGAGCCAACAAACGAAGATCAACTAAGAAGCAAACAAAAACATATGGGCTGAACTTTATGCTCAACTTTCCTTCCAAGCGAAGGCGTCAAAGCTGAAATGGTCCAGTTCCAGGCTGCAAGTTCGCGTCTCAACGGAGTTGGATTGATGTATCCCAGACACGACTAATGGGACTGCCATAGGACTGCCGCTGACCCCTTTTCAACCACCCCTGGCTGGCCTGATCGGCAGTCCTATGGCAGTTCCATTAGTCGTGTCTGGGTATGGTCCGCCAAAATGGAGGATGTGATGAGTGGACCCTGGGAACCCCTGTTCGGACACCGAGCGGAGCGAAGGTGTCGAGACGAGGCGCGGAAGACGCCGCCGGAGGCGAAGCGTGATGCGGAAGCATCCGGTCTTCACGCGGATTGGATCTGAAAACGAAACGAAAGGACGAAACATGTCTGGTATCAGAACTCAGCAACCCTAAGAATTCGGGCCCGAACCATCCCGAACCAACATCATCCAGGTTTGGTTCGGGCCGTCAAAACCTCAACACCCATGCGTTTCGGTGCCGGGTCCGACCCCTGCCATGGAGAGCCCGTACGGATTCTTAGGGAAGTTTAATCCCCAGGGCTTCAGCACAATCCTCCGAAGGTGGTTAAAACCCCCAAACCCACCGGAAACCACCTAGGATGTAGTTGGAGCCCCCTATCAGAGGAGGAGCATCTTCTCTTGTCCCCTCTCTAAATTCATTGCTGGTTGGTTTCAACTCAGCAAAGTCATTTTTTGGGGGGAGATCCTGACGTCCAATCTAGCGAAACAAGTGACTTGTGAGTGAAAGTGATCGAACAAGTGAGGTCCCAGAATGATCCGATGTTTTTCTCCGCCGTTTCGAGCGTTTGCATCGAAACATAGAAAATAGGACCCGGCTCTTGAAAGAACAACCTTTAAGGCCTTGAGGTCATATTCTATATGCTCCAATCTTTGACCCATGGGTCCATTAGTTTTCAAACTTAGCTGCCCCCATGGATGGATGGTGTAAGGCATCGAAGGTTCTAAGCTTGCACACCCTAAATTGCATGGTAGAAGATCACGGAAAAACTGAATCTTGTGTCGGGGAGGAGGCTGGCCAAATTAGCAAATACATTCTGAGGTAGTTCAACAGCTTCGGAAGTTTGCAAAGCTGGTGGAGGATTCGGGCTAGGCTATCCAACTTCAAAGAACCACTATTCCTGAGGTGTATGCATTACCCAACCCGCTTCAAAAACCCACAGTTGAAACAGAAACAGTTTGTAACCTTCAACATGTGACTTTCATGGGGTATCGTCATGGACCAAGATTTTGGTGACTTTACAGCCCCCACTTGATGACACACCAGCCTTTGTGATCATTAAGTCTTTGGTCACTTCGACAGATTGACCTGAACTTGAGTGTATGCTCAAATCCCTGACAATAGGCACCAACTGCATGTGGTGCGCATGCCCCATGGCCTCTTCTGCAGCTTCGAGTGCTCATCCTCGAGCAGGTTCCTCGAGTGCAAATCAAGAAATACAGTTTCATCAAACACCGTCTGATTGGAGGACCTCCACATCCTCCACATCTTTGCAACTTGGCAGGTGATTGTGGATTCTTGGACGTGGGATTGTTCCGGGCTGTCTAATGAGTCCAATGCCTGTGGCATCCCAACAATGAATAAAACAAATCATGAACAGTGTAATGATTGACTACTGCTGTCTGTGAGTACCTATGTTGATCAATGCAGATTAGAGCCCCCCCAAAGAACAGGAACCACTCCCCTTTGTGAAGATTGAAACCCATCCGTGAGGTGACCTGGAACCAGAGGGAACTGGTTCTGGATTTCTGGCCATCGCCAAAGGTCGCCACATGCCAGCGGAACGGTCTCCTCTCGAGACATTTGGGTGGAGCCATTGGTTCCGATGAATTGGAGCGTTGTTCCGATCCAAGAAACATCCACCACCTTGCGGTCCGTGAACATGGGTCGAAGCCTGGAACCCTAATACCCTGTAGTAGATACACCTCTCGCTTGGTTCGTTCATGTTCTGTGGTCAACGGGCCGGTCCCGTTGATCGAGGCATAGCGAGGTCAGGTGCCGCTCGCCTGCGTTGGAGCACCGCGTCGAATCTCACACCCTTGGAGGAGGTGGAGAGTTTCTGCCTCAGTGCGCTGGAAAAGCCAAGTGAATTGACGTGATTAAGCAATGTACAGTGTGACTTGTATAGTGGTGCAGTCAGAACAATGGTTTCGGAAGAAAGGGCACTATCCATAACACAAACACTCCCTATGTATATATGTGGTACATGTTTATCTATTGTTTTAGATATTATTAGATTATTTAGCTAGAGGGTCAATGATGGTCAATGTAATCACCTCTTCCATACATGGAGTTTCTGGGTACAGCGAACATGAATGGATCACAAAAGAACAGCGAATCCGACCGCCCCCAGTTCTATGGCACCTCTGAGGCTGAGGGTCTACTCACCAAACGTTCACAGACTCATCTGAGGCGACACGTGCCAATCTCAGATGGGTCGGGGCAAACGTCACCGGCTGTTGCTGAACCCTCCGCTGTTGCTGTTGCGTCCCAGTCCTGACCCGGCAGGTCGCTATTTCAGAACACATATTTTATATGATATCATGGTACGTATGTTTTACATTTTCCCATGTCCAGTTGCACTTGCCTCTCTCTCTAATATATAATTGTATATATATATATAACGAACTGTATACACTTATATCTGTGATTGTCTTTCAACCCGAAGGGATGGGACTTATCCGGTGGACCTGGTGACCAAGTTGCAGCTGCTGGCGCTTGTTGCGGGCTTCGTTGCCTGGACACGGACTTCCGTCTCGGTGCGCGGCCCGGATCCGACACGGCCTGGACCCGGGATGCCACGCTGCCCCGAGAGGTCCGAAGGAACTGCCATTTGCAGGAGCCGAGAGGTCCAAAAGAAGGGTGGGCCGGGCCAGTTCAGCAATCCTTCTATAGTTCTGAACTGGGCTGTAGTTCAGTGCGCACGTCACGGGGCTGTCATTTGGCGCAAAAGGCATGTGGGCATCCCTCCAAATCTAGCAAAGCATTCTAGACTCTAGACTTCAGGGGGTGATCTCTGGAACCAACTTGTCCTTATTATGCTGTATACTCTATATCCACACGGGAATCCACCGCAAAAGCAGAATTGGTACCCAAGTGTGGATTGGCCTGGGACTCTTGAGCTATCGATGATGGTTTCCGTGACATGGAAGTTGGACTGTACTGGTTGCTCCATACCTGGACCCGCATTCCCTAATGACAAAAGGCCCGCGGAAAACCCTCTACTGTTGCGGTCCAAAACTCGCTGTTGGAACGTCTGGGTAGTGACCCACACTGACCAATGTTCCCATGCTGCCGGGTAATCAGCATTGCTGAAGACCATGGCCCACCTACTTGCGACATTTGATAAGGAGGAGCACCAAAAACTCTCCAAGAGGCGTAGACGGTTCCCCTGGCGCCAAAGATTCACCACCTGCACGAGGAGCGATCTGACAACGATGTTAAAATGTTTCGGGGTTGTAGGAGAACCCACAAACAAAAGAGTTGTTCTTTGTCGATTTCCTTGCCTGGGCCAAGCAGTGGTTCTATTGAAGATCCCAGACTGTATGTGGCCCGAAAGTAGAGACAAAGCAAACCAAAAGGATCCAAAAGCGTTTGGAGTTTGTTGCCGCTAGGGGGGCTGCAAAACAGGACCGTTCTTTTCTTCCTGCAGAACAGTGAAGTCAGTGGTTTTACCACACGTTTTTTGGACAAAATGGCCGCCCATCCAAAAAAGTCAAGAGAACAATGACTCCGGTCTCTCTTGCAGCAAATTTGGGCGAGTTGATGTTCTGAAAAGAACACCAAATGACAGCAGTGATTTGGGGTTCAAAGGATTCGTTTAAGCTTTCCCTGAAACAAACACATGAGAAACGTCTTGGATGGTACACTCATTAGTGAAAAAAGAAGTCCTGAGTCCGGCGGAAGCCCGTCTATACAAGCTGCCATGCAATGATATGCAGTGCACAGATGGGTGCATAGATGTATGTACTGGTGCCTATACCATTCTGTGCCTATCAACTTCAACTACGTACCGAACAAAGAGCCGGGCCGTTTGGCAGGTCTTGACGCCGGTCTCCAACCTTCAGTTCCAAGGTCTCCAACTGGCTAGGCTCAGGGGTCCTGAAGAAAGACTCGGCTCTGGCTAGGCAACGGGGTACCAATCCCAAGAGTCTTGATGAATTCCGTCCGGATTTCAAGCAGGAAGCGGTCAACAAACCTCTGCAAAGCGAATCTTGTTTAGCGAGCGTTGGCATTGAAGATATGGAAAACAAATGAACAATTTTTAATATGCCAGCTCCAGCTTTCTCTTCTATACTACCCCCTGGTAGGTAGTCCAACCTCCACCTCACCCACTACGATGGTTCGTCAGCTCATCGGTTTCATATGCTTCTATTATTGTTGTTCAACCCGTTTCGTGGTTGAGTTCTCTCTATCCTCATCCCATTTGCAAATCCGAAAGCCAAGAAAACCATAGAGAGCCAAGAGATTCGATGAGATTCGTTGGATAGGACAAAAGAAACTCCCCTAGAACAGAACCCCCGCAGGAACTCCCCAAAACACCAAACCCGAAAATATCCAAACCACACGTTCTTCTTCATTCAAACCTAAATATCCTGTACGTTAACCTTCTTGGGCATGAAGAAAGAATGATTAAACACAGGGGAGGAGTTCTGAATCTGATCATCTCCATGTTCTTTTGGACCTCCTGGATACCTAGCCCTCATCCATCTGTGTGTGTTCCCCCTCCTGGGCTGCTTTGGTGCTGCAACTGCTGGGATGCTCGTCTTCGGTACAGGATGCTTTTCCCCAGTCTTCACCTGGCAGTTAGCAAGAATTTTGGACATGATGAGGTATACGGTATAAGTACTATACACCTTCAATTAACTACATATACATCTGTGCAACTTTGTGATCATGATTCGTTTTAACTTCAACTTGCTCGGACACCTTGGGTCCTGTACAGACTAAACTGGTGGAGTTCTGGCTGTGGCTTTCCAGTAGGATACATTTCTTTTAGATCCCATTAGAGTGGATCCTATTTGACATATCCTCCTTGTTTGATTGCGATGAGCAAGCATGATTCGAGTATACTTGCTGTATGTGGGTGGACGACTAAATTTGGAGCCATTCATGCATCGTGTGGGCACGAGTCCTAATGGCTGGTTTACTCACTTTCACCAGCGTCGGAACCTTCAGCAGTTCGGGGCAGTCGAAGCCAAACAATGCAACATCAACTAATGACGTACGACCTTTACTGGATCTTTCTGGGTAGTTTTCGGCCGGCAATCATGTAGAATTTAGAGATCACCACAATTGATGTGGTGGCCAACCAAACCACCACAGAACTGGTCATCGCCTAGTGCTCCGAAACGGACGTGGACGTGGTCAACGCCTTGAGCCGGCGATTGAGCTCCCAGCCTCGGCTGGAAGTGGATGTCGTTGATGGAAGTGGTGTAGGTCCATCCAAAAAAATGTTGGAAACCTTTGGTCTTTCGAAAGCGCCTCTTAGAAACAAGCAACTCTTGAGTGAAACCTTGACCAAACCTAGGAGCCAGGAGTATCCTAGTCGGGGCAACTTGGAGTCGTGAAAACTGCTGCAGCTTGTGTATTCCCGCCAAAGTCCACCACCGAAACCGAGACATCTTGGCACGGTCCGCGGTGACTGAATGGATCTAATTGGATATACTGTAGTCGATCCATCAGAAATCTACAAAAGGTCCGGGATCGGTTTTAGTGATATGTTTGAAGAGGATTGAAGAGGAACTTGTATACACAGGGACGGTACCAGGTCGGGTTGAATCAAGTTCAATTTGTATTGTTATTGATCTTCATGGTTGGTTGGTTGATGTTGGTTGGCAAATTGGATGACAGTAGCTTGTTACCTAGGTCAAACGCTACCAAAACATCAACGGTCCAACATGCCCCCCCTCAAAAAACAAATAAAACTCCCTCTCCCTGTTTAAAGGGGAATCGGAATATGGATACCATTGGCTCCTTTGCTCCCTTCCAACCACTGGCTAGACCAATGTTTACCAAACCATTCTGGATCATTCTGGGATTTGGATGGATCTCTCTCTCTCTCTCTCGAAACACCGAGGTCCACCGGTCCCTTATATAAAAAACGAGCCAAAGGCTCGCTCTTCCCGCCCTCCAGGTGTCCGGGCCAGTACAGGTCTTCCACTGGTCCATCAACTGTTGAAACTTCGGAACCATCCTCACTCCGGGGCCGCCGGGACGGACCATGACGGCACGCCACACCGCCTGCACTTCTGTTGGAAACCATCTGTTCGGTGAAGCGGTCTTCGGGCAAATCCCGGTGAAGCCGGGAAATAGGGCAACATGGGGCGCGCATGTCATGTGCAGCGCGTGGGCCGTTCCTGCCTTTTGAGGGGCTGCGACTGGGAGGGGAAGACAGTAGTGGCTGAGAATCCAAGGGGAATTGGGATGGATTTGGGTCTGGTTGAAAGAACTCTTTCGGGGGTGTCCCTAATCTAAACCACACAAAACGGAGTGCAAAGAGCCCGAGGTAAGTCCACCGATGTCCACTCAAACTTCGCATGTCAAGCATCAAGTTGTCCCAGTCGGCCCGATCTGCATCGGTCCAGGGGATGGTGTCTGAGATGTAGCCTGCGAGCATCGGTAACCATCTGGCACGACCGGTGTCTGCATGGGTGCTTCACGAGAAAGGGTTACGATCTGTTGGAACACCAAGGCCAAAGCCACTTTCTTACAGCAAGTCCCCGGCGGTGTATTTTTTGGACTTGGTAACCCCTACATGTCCAGCTTCAAAGTGATCTCTGAGATTGGCTTGTCTTGGCATCTCGAGTCCTTGCAGAACAGCGTCATTCACACACACAAACCCCTGCCATTCAAGGTCCGAGACGACGGTACCGGCGGTCTGACCGGTCCCAGTGTTCACCGTTGAAAGCTCCTTCTTTTAGCCCGCTCCCTCTCCCCCCCTCTCTCCCTACTTAAATAACTAGAGACTACCTACTTAATTGAGTAAGGAATTGAGGTAGCTACATGGACACAGGATAGCTCACACTTCTTCAAGGAATCTCCCCCGCCACCCTAAAAGAAGGGCTCGCACTATTCAGTTGGTTCCTATAAGGTATGTTGGGAAGAGCTTGCCACCCAAAAAGTGGATGTTCAAGGACCATCCGCTGGGAGGAATTCTGAAAAACCCATATGCATCTCCCAGGACCCACTGTCGGGGTGGTTAATACGCACCCCTTAACCTCTAAGGGGCTATCAATGGAAGCCCCTTCGCTAGTTCTGGTCATGGAGGGATCAGAATGGGATGAGCTTCAGATTCCTGGACAGACCTGGGAAGGCAAGTGCGCGATCCATAATTCACAAGGATAATTTGTTCTTTTTGTAAGCAAGAGTGCGGTATAGGAACCTGTGTGGTCATTCCCACACCACACCGAAAAACAGGAATTGGCCTCATTCAGTGCCTCATTCATTCGATCCACAGACTTGATCTTGGGTCTTCCTGAAGAACTTTGTGTGGGCTTCCAAGTCGCTGGCGCTTTGCTTCACTGTGAACCCGGTTGCCACAATCAAGCTTCGCTCGTGGCATTAAGCCCCATGCGGCAATGGTGTTTCTGGGAAAAGACCCTAACACCCTTGGAGGCCATCGCTATTAGGTGGAGGCCATCGCTACTAGTAACAAGAAGCTACTAAAATAGTTCAATCCGTTCACTATCTCCATTTCTTGGGAGCACATGAACACTTCAGAATCTTCGCAGTGACCATGACCACTGTTCTTGTGGATGGCCTCTGCAACCAGGGGCTCTTCCACTTCCACAATCGCCAAGTCACAATCTGCCCCTGGATGGCACTTGGCAGTACTGGGGCATGCCGCGCAGTTCGTCGTGGGGTTCCTGTCCGGACTGCTGCGAGTCGATCGATGTCCCATTTCAGTAGAAAAAAAACAAACCAGAATCCGCCGGAAGCTACTAGGAGCAAAGGGCATCGCTGCTAGGAGCAAGGACGCTACTAGGGGCTCCTGACCTTACTACTAGGAACAAGAAGCTTCTAGATTCTAGGGGCTCATTCAGTTCCCAATTTGGAGAGTTTATATGAGGTCCTCACCAAACGTTCGGCCAGGTGCCAGAAAAAACGAACAAAACATGAACATGTTCAATTATATTGTTCAATATAGTTCGAGAACTCCCTAGCACGAAGAAAGAAAGCATAGACTTGGACCAAAAAAGGGAGGGACCCAAAGAAAAATGTCAGCTTCCAAATCCAAATCCGCTCAAACAATGATCGCAACTGTGGAGCCTGAAGAGCATTACAACCTTGGGTCTATCCTATATAAAACAAGGCCCGGTGGATGATGATCGTTAGTAAAGGGCCTTTCTCTAAAAGGATACTTGTTTACCGACCGTTACGGGTCCCAGGTGAGACCGACGAGACATCCTATTCCAGTCGTAGGAGTTGGTGAGCAAATCGGCACAGGTGGTCTCTTGACCTTGGTGTGGGTCGTGCGGGTCGCTGTGGGCAGTGACTGACCTTCCCGTTTGGGATCCAGTCGTACCGAACCTCAGAAGGTACGACTGGACCGTCCAGAGCTACATTGAGCTACATCACCTTCTGAGACGGTACGACTGGATCCCTCGGGCTTGTGTGGCCCGCACATCTCTATGCACTGTTCGGTGGTATGTGTACATTGTAATCCCAAAAATGCTCGTGCGTGAGAGAGCCTGGGGACAAATCTCAAACAGAAAAACACCGTGGTCCAAGGGCATCAATGTGTACGTTGTGCGGAACCCAAAGGTGTGGACACTGCAAAGAATGAAATGACAAATGAGCATCACTTATTCATATGCTTACAGTAAGTTGATGCCAAAACGTGAGCATAAGTGAGCTATACCAGTAGGTGGCACTTGGAACTTAACGTCTCTCATCCAATTCTGACTGATACAATCCTGCAGCCACGTCCAGTGGCAAATTGCATGAATCTGAAGAGATGTATATATAATCAAAAACAATCAAAATAATGATCGATGCAAAAACTGATCCTCAAGGCGCGCTAGTCGCAAATTCCGCTTGGCCAAAGGAATTTGAGAAACTTACTGCAATTTCTATTGCGTTTGCGTTTTGCTTCGCTCGGAGTACGCCGGTGAAGCTCTGCAGCGAAGAAACATTGGTACTCACAGTGCGCGACTTCGCATTCCTTGAGGCAGCGGAGCAGGAGCGAGACTCATCTGGCGCTCAAGAATGAAGACCCTAAAAGTCTGCAGGTGTTCGATGCTGTTAGTTTTTCTTTCATATTATATATATATATATAAATGAATCAACATACGTTATACAGTATATACACACTGTATTGGGGTTTGTACCTCCAATTCAATGTTAAGCCATAGCTATCTGGAGAGATTTCTTTTTAATGAGGCGGCCAAACAAAATAGGCTGATCCCATATCCAGCTTCTGAGTCTCCCCATAGTTGTACTGCGGAAGCTAGACTGTTGTATATTGATCAGTCAGTGTTGGTTGGAAAGGTGTAAATAGGGATATCACACGGAGCGCGTTTTCTCTGCAAAACTTCACCGTCAGCAGCCGTGGACCGCAGGTGAGAGGAACCGGTGAGAAGAACCGGAGCGTCGATGAGAGAGCTGCTGCAGCATTTTTTGCAACAACGGACTTCTGCGACGACCGCTGCGCCGAGGGGCAGTGCACTGCGCGTTCGCTGCAACGACCTGTGCCTTGGCTTCGGCCATTGAGAGGCTGCCTGGCAAAGCACTGAACGCCGCTGAGCGCTTCGAAGTCAAGATGGATGGGGTATTGGATTGTTCATTTGAGGGCCATGTTTGTGGGGTCTCCAGAATTTTCCTCACTCCCATTCCAGCCACTCCACTCCAAGCTGCACATCTTGAAGCTGTACTCATTCCACTCACACTTCCTCGCGTTATCCACACCTCATGCGCCGGTTGAAAGGGCCGCGGCCGAGTATTTGGACACGTAAAGTTGTTTTTTCCCGACACAAAGTTCGATCCAGGAACCCGGTCCAGATCTGGAGATTTTGAGAGGTTGAACATGGTTGAACCATATTCATATATCATATGTGTTTTTTCCATCGGGCTTTTGCTTCTGCCTCAGCAGGGTGGCCAGTTTGGTTTGGCCAGCTGTACTGCAAGGCTGCCCCAGGCGATGTGGGATCTGATCATGTATCATCAAAGGAAGTTTAGTGTGCAAAACTTCCGTGTTACGGACATTCAACAGCTGTTCAACCACCACTCATAATTCACCACTCATCATACACCACTCATCATACACCACTCATCATACTCATACACCACTCATCATACACTACTCATCATACACCACTCATCATACACCACTCATCATACACCACTCA